TATAGAATTGTAAACCAATTGAGTTTCTTTTAATCCCATTGTTTCCTATCTAATAAAAGGGCCTACCACATTTGTATAATCTGAAACTGAGGAAATTAATTTTATATACTGTAGCATGAAATTAAATAATCTATACAATAGCTGATCATTTACACATGAGTACAGACAGTAGATTCAAACAACCGTAATAAATCATTAAGTATAAATAAATATATATCATAACATTTTCTGATATACCATAAACAATTTTATATATCTATTTCTTATTTCAGATAGCATTTCTAATGCAAATGTTAAAAATAAAAAAAAATAAAAAACAAATCCTGTCATACTTGCCAAATGCCAAGTGGTCATCCTCTTTGGGTGGCACATGTTAAAGTTATCAATCCCTATAAGTGATTAATTGATTTATTAGTTAATTGATTGTATTTTGTTTTTTATTGAATATTATTTCATTCATTTTGCGCCTGTTATTTTTATAGTTAGGGGTCGTGTTGTCTAGACACTGCAATGTAAGTTGTCTTTCTCATTGAAGATCAGATACTGTGAGGTGAGTGAACCTTTACTAATAATACACAACATTTTAGAATATCCAAATACTAAGTAGTCTAAATCATCATAGTAGTATAGCGCCCTCAGTGTTTAAATATTTGGCTAAGATTTTTTTTTTTAATGGTACACAATATTGATCTACTGTAATAAACACATTTTTATTTAAGCTTACCTTTTTTTAACTTGTAGGATGGATGGCTATAGTAAGAGTACATAGATTTCTGGCTACAATCAAGATGTAGACAATTGTCTATTTCAAATTATAGACTATTACTATAGTTTAAACAGTGGTCTATTCATAGCTGGCTATGGTTTTTTTTGGCCAGCTGTAATTGGTCTATAAGCTGCGACTTCCTGCTTGGGTAAAACAATCTACCAGTATTCTTTTTCAAAACTTTTACCTGTCTATCTATCTACTTATAAGTAGCCAGCTATATAGAAAGGCTAGACCTTTTTAACATTATTTTTCAATGTATTGCAATAATGGTTTTGTGCGATTGTGTGTGACACAGTGTTCAATATGCAGCAGTTATATTTAATGTGAATTAGTGAGCTAAACCACAGTTCAATCAATCCATTAATCAATCAGTTAATCAATCAATCAATCAATCAATCTTTTTTTTATATATCAGCCAAAAATTCTCTCGTCAGTTGTGAAATCATTTAAATGAGAGATTAAAATGTCATACAGTACCCCCAGGACCTCTAAAATAAGTAAGGGAAAACCCTAACCATCTACCTTGGAACTCACTGTACACTTCACACCTCCCAGCAAAAACATGCTGGCTATCAATCCTCTGGGCAGTAATACATTGTAATAATAATAGAGTATGAGATGGTGCTATATCTTACAGGTATTTTAGTATGCGGTATTTGATTATGTCATATGAAGCAGTAAATTTATACTATACAATCCCTAAAGTCTAAATTAGATTTTGGAAGGCTTATGTGATTTCATAGACACTTGAACTAGATTGAAGTCCAGTGTAACCTGACCCAAAAATCTCTCCAGGATCGCAGCAAGATATCAGTCATGATGTTAGTGGCTTATCAGATCCTGACGGCATTTTGGTCACAATTTCACCAGGATCGTGGCCTACCGTCAAGGAATTCCCAACAATAATTCTGTTGGGATTTGGTGCAGTGGGATTCTGATCCTGTCTTACTGCAGGAATCAGGTTGTTTATATGTAACAAGTCCTGATGTTCAAGCTTCATCGTATGTTCTTCACAGTTGCTGTCTCTTATTAACAACTAATTCAAACGCTTTTGGCACAAGATCAAAATGCACATCTGCATCCAGGTTGGGCTGCGTGTTTTCTGGCAGTTCAATGTGGAATTTCTGTAGAATAAATGCTGCCAGGAGAAATATCTCAGATTTTCCGATGTTCTTTCCAAGACATGCTCTACGTCCGGTTGAAAATGGCATAAAATGTGGGAATTCTGTCAAGTTGCGCATATTCCCATCAGTATCTAAAAATCGCTCTGGTGAGAAAGTATCTGGTTTATGCCATACAGTTTCATCATGGTTTATCGTCCAGAAGTTGGCCATTACTTGCGTATCTGTAAGGAAATATTTATTGAAGTTGAAATCAAAAAGTGTCAAAAGTTGATACACTTTTCAAAAATTTGTAAATGCAACAAAAATATGTGCTCATTTGTAAGTGATCCTATGCAATTCACAATAATATTAATGATGATTTTCATTAAAAAATTTAACGAATTTTAGCACTTTTCTTTGTAGTTATGAAGAACTTAGCACGTTCCACCCGAAGTACTTTGTAAGGTAAAGCTGGGCACTCACTGCATAGTACAACCAATCCAATTTTCCTCCTTATGAGCGCTAGACAATGTGCCGCTGTCTGATTATTGTCGGTTGTAGTCTGAAGGGATCATCATTAAAAACGATCTGTTGCGTGCACATCCTGACGTTGCGTTTTCTATAGTCACGTCAGTCGACGACTGGCGCAGTGATTGCCTGGCTTACTAAAATCGTTATTTCTACTGCTAGTAAAAAATAATGGTATTACTATTATACCTTTTGGAATGTGGAAGCCTCCTATTGTTGTATCTTGGGTGGCAGCATGAGGCACCCCCAGTAGGGATAGTGAACTATACCGTAATGTTTCGTACACTGTTGCGGCTGTGAAAGTATAAATAAAATTAACTACTTAACAATTTTATCTTTTTTTTTTATTGATCTACTGTATAAACTGAGATTGAGAAAGGAGGAAGATATAAAATAGCGTAATACAATATAGCAAGATGAATAACATAACATTTAGTAAATTCAGCATACTACTAAACATGAGAAAAACATGGAAGTATGAACTGAGGGTACAGTAATTGCTGTTACCATTTTCATGGTTAGTAGATATACATAATACTAAATAAATGTGGAGGAGAAAGAAGTCAGTTGACAGTTGGTAACAGATTGTGTACATTTTATGGAGAAAAAAAAAAAATTGATGATCTGAAATAGACAACATTATTGTTTCTGTCCTCTCTCAGGGGAGGAAATGGTATAATTTATACTGTCTGAATAATGTTGAAAAACGTAGACAACCCCTGAATCCATTGTCAGGTTAAAATAGGGGAATACCAGGAAAGATCGAATCTGTTTATTAGTCTTTACACATATCATATAACATTGTAAACATGATATGAAATTTAATATGTTATTTAATCACACTGTATGAGGGAACAAATAGACATATTGTTTTTTCGGGTGTTCATGTCAAAGGAATAATATCGCAAGTGAAGAATATCCGGGTTGGTATTAACAAAGTAAGCTAGGATTAATAAATTGTTCCCGAGGCATTGAGCCAACAGTATCAAAGTGATGTTGTGCACTATCAAAGTCATTACACATGTTATTCCACTCTGTACACTTGAAGAAATTGTTTTTGAAATTGTTTATTTAAACGCACTTTATATTGTGTGTAGGGAACAAACAGACCTTTTGTTTTTTAGGGTGTCTTTTCAAAGAAAAATTGATGCAAGTCAAGAATATCCGGGAAGGTGTTAACAAATTAAGCTGGAATTGATAAGTGGTTTCCAAAGCATTGAGCCAATGTGTATCACAGTTATATTGTGCAGTAATCACTAGTGTTGAGAAATCTTGACTTTAATCTTTATTAATGCTAGCGTGTAGGTTTGAACAAGAGTCTTTAAAACTTCAAAGACTTACTTAAGAGTGGAAGTTTTTTCTCATCCATAATGGTTGGTTTTGCATCACCAAGAATGTGATCCATTTCTTTCTGAATCTTCAACTGAACATCCGGAAATGCAGCCATGTACAGTAGCAACCACAAGAGTGCAGTCAGAACAGTGTCCATACCTTGAAAAAAAAATAAAAGTAAACAATTAAATAGACATATTTCTTTTTGTCCAGAATTGAGTTGCTCCATTTGTCATCAGGACGATCCTGATGACAATTGAAGCAATTCAGTTAGTGGCAGATTCGGGGTGGGGACAAGCCGGCCCGGTTCCCCCTTTTGTTTTTCAAAACTATTTAAAAAAATGGAAGAAAGGGAAAATTTTAATCAAATTTACGTTTGAAAGTGCCATTTCATAAATTTTCTTATCTCAGCCCCAACTATGGTGGGGCTGAGGTGGTCTGTCAAGACATTCTCAACAAGTTTTCAAAACTACCCACTTTCTTTTGCCAAGCATTTATCAAGTACAACTACTAGTGTTCTATACATTTTAATTCATTTTTCGATGCAAAGCACATATTATTTGATGGCAAAATATGTACATGATAAATAATTATAGACCACATTAATATTTACAAATAATTATATTGAACAAAAATCAAGTGTCTACTACTATAGCTTTGTTTTCTCTCAAAGTCAGTGTTGAGTTGAAAAACTTGCATTTTTAAGGTTTTTCCATAATATATTCACAGACAGTATAATTTTGACACATGTTATTTTTATATAATGTTGTCTGTTGAAGGTCCCTTGATAATACATTTTTACTATACTATGAACTTGTGCAATAACCTGACAGCTTTCAATTTGTGATTTTCTGCTTTGAATTCTCCTGTGGGTCCTAAGTATGTAATTTAACATTTGTTTCATTAAAGAATAAAATAGCATGATATTCATATATGGTCATACAATATTTTAGAGTTTATCCATCTTTGATAGTCATATACTCTAGCTGCAAAAATGTATGGAATTCAGACATGGCCAATTATTTGTCCATATTATGAAATGGTAATTTGTATTATTTTTGAGGCTAATAATTTTAGCTAAGGCAAAACTTTTTTATACCTTAAACGGAACCGAAATATTGGGGATTTCGAATAAAATAAAAATTTTATTTTTGGCCAGTTAGCGTACACGCTGCCACGAAAAATAGAAATTTCAGAAAAAAATTTAAAAAGATAAGATATGTATATTTCTTCCTAATTACATAAATTTGAAGCATTTAACCATCCCATTTAAATTCACTAATAAAATTTTATTTTTATTTTCTCCTCCATTTGGGTGTTTTTGGCAAAACTATTTGCTAAATAAGAAAACAAAATTTTATTTTAATTTTTATTCCGCCCTCCTCCGATGATCTTTAAAGAATAAGTATGCGAAACAAGGAATAAAAAAAAGTAGGAAGCCATCACTATGAAAAGCTTTTACTAGAAGAAAAGAAAACCCTTTATAATGTACCCAGTGGTGTGTGTAGGAGTGTTCCTCTCCTTTAAATGTTTTTTAAAGTGATGAATTCACTTTTTGTATATTTTGTAAAGATGTGTGCAATTTAATGAATTTTAATGTTCCTTATTTACTGTCTTATCTGAAGAGCGTTTGAAAAGGAGAATAAGGACAACTTGTTGGTGTAGTAGAGGGGGAATGTATTGCTGGCGGTCCAGAAGTTGTTTGGCAAATCTTGGATTCTGACATTTGAAGTATCCTCTCCATATCCCTGATTCCTAGTTTGTGCAAAATGGGTTGATAAACTTTCCAGAAGTTTGTTGACATTTTCTGCAAAAAAGCCCTTCATCAAATAAAGTGCAAATTTGGCAGCTTTGATGAGGATTCAATATAAATGGTAAATTGGTATATGTGGGTAGTCTTGGGGATAGAACATAAATAAACAGTAAGTCTTTTCTTATATACAAAGAGACAATTTTAGAGATCTATAAAATTGGGAAGATAAATGGTAGGTATGCTATCTTACTTTGATATTGGAAATATATTTCTTTACCCCTACCTATTTTTAGCTGCAGCAGTATTTAATAAGGTAGAATGTTTCATGGTTTGAAATACTAGTATTTTCTTTTGTCTATGTGAGACACATAATAAATTACTTTGTACATCAGTTGTTATACTAAGTCATTGACTCCATGTACATACAGTACAGGCCCATCCCCACTCAGTGATAAAATAAGAAAAAAGTGTAAGAAGTTTGTTGCCTAGTGGACCAACTCAGAGATGCTATTCTGTCTGAACCCCACCTGGCTTTAAAAAATATTAGAAAAAATATGAAGATTTGTTTCACGACAAAAAAGATTAAGCACACATATTTCACATATAAGTCAGTGGTACAATTTTATAAGTGATCTGTTTTATTGTCAACTTATTAATATATAAAAATAATTGAGAATTGAGAATATGAATCAAACATAAAATAATAATGATAATAAAATTATAATAGAATAATTATAATAGACAATTTCATAGAGCCATATAACATTGTTTGATGATTAATTGTCTTTTTATCACCATATCGTAAATAAGTGGGTGATTATATTTTGATAAATAAGATGAAGTTGATATAAAAAAATATATGTTTGGCACTTTCAAACTGTAAAAATGCGAACATAGGAACTCAGTAGACCCTTTCAAGAAATTGTGTCAAGGTCGAAGTGTGCTAGTCTACTTGTATATAAATAGATACAGATGATTGGTATGTTTTGAAAGATGCCGCCTATAAGTACTGTACCTTGAAAACAACTAATTAATTATTAAATTACTGAGCAGAAACATTTATTTGGCTGTCTATGGCAAGCAGACAGTAATCAACATAGTAATGACAATATAAGGCTTGCAATAGAATGCATGTCCCAGTTTCTGTGAACTGCTATGTTGATTATAATCCATTGTAAGTGCGTGATGATGCTGTGTTACACTCAATGGAGTCAAGTTGTTGCACATTTTTATTCAGAATGCTTCATTAAGAACCAGTCAGATAGAAAAGGCATGCAATAAAAAGAATAATTGTGGATGAAATACAGAAATATTTACTCAGATCCATCATCATAATTTGATTGGAAACAAAATTGTATCTATTATGGAGAGAATTTCTAATTTTAGCATCTATTGTGGAGAGACTTAATTTTTTAGCTTTATTCTTGCAGAGAATGTTTCAATAGAATACAATACAGTAATAGAAGACAGACAGTTTCAGATAACTTTGTTCATCGTTTCATGAATTTCTGCGTCTTTTTAAATAAAAGAGAATAAAGAACAATGATGTTAGATTCTACTACTTACGTAAAAATTCACATACTGAACACTTATAAGTGGGGTACTCATTGTGCCTGACGGTCATCAGCCGATGCGATTTCTATGGAGAACGCAACGTTGTGCGTGCAATGGATTTTTTTTTAACGATGGCCCATTCAGACTGCCACCGACAATCAGCAGACATCGTTACATTGTCTAGCCGGTGGCTAGAAGTCTTGGAGTAAGGGTGCTGATGGGGGGGGGGGAGGCCGTGAAGGTGAAGTACTGTAGGAGCTTGATGGTCAGTTGAGTTGCGATAACTTGCAAAATAATGTGATTTATGGTGTTTTTTAAATTATTGACTGATTTTTGGGGTGTCTGGGGGGAGGGGTGGCGTGAGCCCCTGCGCACTCCCTAGATATGCCACTGTGCCTAGCAATCACAGACAGCAAAGTTGGATTCGTAGTACGACATAGTGAGTCCCCAGCTTTACAGCCAACAGCAGCTACACTCCAAATTATTGGATAAAACCATATAGAGTCTTTTTATTTTTTTGAGGTTTTGGAACCAAATGTTGATTTAAGTTACAAGAAAAATTCTGGTGTCTTAAAGGATTTAAACCCAGAATATTGGTTTTTGTCTGTTACATCTGTAGAAAGAAAATACTATATTGAAATATATTTATCTTTTTTAAATTTGTATGAGTGCCTACTTCTAAAGATTTTTATAGTTTACTGTATATTGATATGGGTTGTCATTTGGAAATGTCAAATATGTGTATAGAAAAAGTTGGGTGTGATAGCAATTAACAACCAAGATAAAGTTGTGTTCATTTTTTTGAAATACCATACTATAGCCTCATTTATATAATTTTGAGATAATTATCTGCCATAATACCTTTTCCCAAAGGTCTAGTTAATGACCCTATTAATAACCTAGTATGGATTATTAGCAACAGATTTTAATTAACACAATGAGTTAATAATTAACAAAATATTAGTTCAAGAATGAATTGATTACAGGCCTCAACTGATGTCACATACAACTACCAGATATATATGCTACGGTGCCATGTTTAAATCACCCTTGTAGAGGCCACATCGCTCCCTAATATGATCTATTATTTTAGGGTAATATTAGGCCGCCGCCTATATTCTTGAAAACACAACATAATTTTGGGCCCCAGAGATCTAATTCCTTGAGCCGTCGTCAATCCTACGTGTCCATGACTCCTGGCTATTCTTATGCATAATGTATGTTACTGTACCTAGTACATGTTTACTCTGTAGTAGAGAAGTAATGTGCGTGTACCAATACGCGTTATAGTTAAAACCTCACTGTGGGGTATCATTGATATTGACATTAACTTCAATAAATGACTCCTTAAATTTCACTGAGCTGGTTCTTGTATGTCATTATTGCAAAATTACTGGCACAGGTACTCTAATGTAAGATAATCACTCTTAATGTCTGTATATTCTGAGGCCCCAGGTAGAGTCAGGGTCCCAGTAATTTAGGCAGCTCTCTTGATCACTTTTTGACAAGGTGTATCTGAGAAATTGGCTTGCTAAAATTTTAAAAAGTTCACTTTCCAATTCCTAGCTGTTGCCCACTTACATTTTTTCCCAAAGTCAGTAAAACTAATATTTTTGATTGAAAATAACATTATAGCGAGGTGCAGTGGTACATTATAGTCAATGGTGTGTTTTTAGTAAAGGTCATTACACTCTGTGTCATTCATGTACAACATCTCTGTTAATAGCCTGAAACTGTTCTAGTGCGTGCAGTACTCATAAATGGAATAAATAAAAATATGTTTTTATAATTGGTATCGAAGGATGAATAATAAGCTTATATTCTGGGAGGTACTTTTAAATAACTAAAGTTG